TTCGAACGTGACAGTCGCGAGGCTGGTGCACACTGGGCAAGGCTTTCTTTGGTGGTTTGGTTGCCATGAATTGTCTGTGACTAGACGCCCCGAAGGGCAACATGCTGAAACGAACGATTGATGTCCAGCCCTGGCGTCAAGCCAGTCACCGATGCGCTTGCTTCTCTGACTCTAATCTTGCTTCCCTTCAACTTTCCTCCACACTGTTAGCCAGGTCCTTCTCACCCTGGGTGACTCTCTTGCTTTAAGGGCAAAGTCCAGGCTCTCGAAAGGGGCACACATATACTCTCTGTCCTCATCCCGATGGCCTCTCCAGTGCCATCTCTCCCTACGTCCCCCCATGCCCTTCTGCCCCTCTCAACTCACGAGCACACGCTTACTTTGCATCTCGGCAGATGCTATTTCCTTTGCCAGGACCTAGGGTTTGGAATCCCTCAAGTTTTATCTAGCACGAGCATGTATGAACCCCTTTGTGACACACTTCAAATTAATTAATTTCTTTAATATGTCATATGCATTTTATACCTAATAAGTTGTCTAATTTTCACAGGTTGGTATACAGAAGGCCCTCCTTTACAGATGATCAAATGGAGGCACAGAGAAGCTTTCTCCAGGTCCCAGAGTTGAACCTTGAGGGGGTGACGGCTGAGCTTGCATAGTGAATCACCCTGCTACCCTACTGCTTCACCTCATGGGTGGAGAGACTGACCTGAATTTACGGATTTCGAATTTCTAACCCTAAGAAGAAACTCAGAATAGGAAGTCACTTCTCTAGATGTAGTGTCATAACCTTAAAAATGGGACATGATCGTAGCAATCAAGGAGTCCTGGTGGCTCAATGGTTAAACACCCACTTGCTGCCCGAGAAGTCTTAAGGTTACAGGTGAACATGATATTGATAAGAGGTTCTGTGGACAAATGCCTTTGTCCTGGATGAGCAAACACCCACAGGATACTGCCGCATCCCATTGAAAGAGAAATAAAAGGCGAAAGCTCAAGACGTCTCAGAAGGCAACAGAGGGAAGTTCTGGAACTTTCTCACCGTGAGACCTGCAATTCCAATTCCGACAATTCCGACAAGTTGGAGCTTAACACTGATGATCGTCTCAATTTCATGAATGCAGTTCTGTGGTGAAGAAAAAGAGAGTCAGAATAATCATGGCTTCTGTCTGTGAAGCCATCCTGACCTAGTTCTTGTCTTCTCTGCAGATCAGGGCTGAGAGGCAGTCAAGGTCTATGTCTACGTCAGTGTCTATTCATTTTCCCACCGCCGTTTCCAGATCACATCATCCTGCGACCCTTACATGGAAACCTTGGTTTGGTGAAAAATACATACGCCTCTCCTTTTGGTGAGATTATCTGGAAACCTGACTGAGGGAAGCAATTCGGACACACCTGGGGTATTTAAAAGATGGGAGTGTCTTTCTTTTGGCAGAGAATAGGAAGTAAAATGTCCCTACAGTAACAACCTATTGCTTTTGAATTAAAACTCACAGTTAAAAGCCCTTCTCTCTATTGTATCTAGTTTATTACACAAGCTAGGCATTACTTACCCCAAAGGCCCTAAAGGTTCTAATCAAAGGACTTAGGAGCTGGAGGGCTGGAGGGTGGCTGAGCTGGGATAGATGGGTCCTAGTTCTTTTATCTAAGGGACCCTGTGGATTGAGGCCAAAGAACTTTCCTAGATGAAGGGAGAAATTGGACAGGGATAGAAGATTACCTATAAGCCCAATTCATTTTCCTGGCTTCAAAAATTCTATTTGGAACAGAAGTTTTCTCTTTGTCTAACTGTGTCTTTAGGCTGCTCGGTCAGTTTCATTTATCCTTGGTCACCTTGGGTCCCCCCACCCCCTTCACCAACCCCCCCCTCCCTCTCCTCACGTCTTCTACCACATTTCATTCTTTCGTCCGTTCACTCATTCGATGGGAATGTTCGTTCCTTCAACTTCTTGGCTGTCTACTTTGTACCAATCCCTGGACCAGGAGTGGAGGGTACGGACACACATAAGACATGGCTTCTGCTCTCAGAGAACTCAAACTTCAGAGAAGGACACGGAGTCAACCCCCACTCCCTGCCCCCCAATTCCAATAATTTAGGGAACTGCTGCTCTAAGGGTTCCCTTACATCTTGGGGAAAACGAGAGTCAACCTGTAGCAATTCTTTCAATGTTCCTCTCCTGCCCTACAAAGGCAGAGGCTCCATTCCCTCCATGCCAGGCAGTTTCACAGGTCCTGAGAGTCTGGGGTTGACCAGGCAGCACCACGCCTTCCTCTTTTCATCGCCCCACTCACGCAGGTGTCTCTGCCCTGCTCAATGTTAACTCCTTGATGGGTTATGCAGTTTCTCCTATTTCCCAAGAGCCTCTGCTGTCCTCCCAGCACACCCGGCCTCTCTTCTCTGCTGACATCCCACTCCCCACATAACACCCTGCTCCAGTCCTCCACTGGAAAACAACCCCTCCCTCAGATAGCCCCTCCTCCCCTTCACAGGCAGCCGCTTTTTGTGGAAAAACAATCAAACAAACCATACATTAGCTTTGACAACATAATGTCAAAAAAAGAAAATAAAAATTATCTGTACGCCTAAATGAAAAATTTATCATTATTTTCATATCTTACATCCACCAAAGATAACATGGAATCCTTTTGGCCTCTTTCCTTACACACACCAGCATACTTCTGCACTTAGCTCATTCTCTAGCCACAGGATCACTTGACGTACAACTTCAAGACTATCATGTCATTCAAAATTCTTTGATAATCATGACCCTTTATGGCTGTAAAACATCACATGAATGAATGTGCCCTACTTTCTTAAAATAGCCTCCACTCTTACACAGTGAGGCCTATCCAATATGCCCTTCTTCCAAATCACCCTGCAACCGACCCGCTACACACAATCTCTGTCCACCTCTCAGGCCCCCTGGCCCACCACCCGCCTCAAATCCCTATGCTCTTTAGAATCACTCTGCAACGTGAAGTGTCCGGATCCCAGATTATGTGCACGCTTGGCCCTCCAGCCTTCTGGAATCACACTGATCCCCAGCAGTGTGGCAGCAATTTCTCTGACAATGCTAATCTTGCATCAATGCAGGCCAACTCCACGCATTATTATTAATTGCATACATTTTCTGTGTTCAGTGCTCATCTGTATTTTTTAAAAAAATAAATCATTTTATTGGGGGCTTGCCCAGCTCTTATAACAATCCACACATCTATTGTATCAAGCATATTTGTACATAGGGTGTCATCATCCTTTTCAAAACATTTTGTTTCTATTTGAGCCCTGGGTATCAGCTCCTCTCCCCACGCCCCCCCCCGACCTTCGTGACCCCTGAATAAGTTATAAATTATCATTATTTTCATATCTTATACCCACTGCTGCCTCCCTTCCTCCATGTTTCTGTTGTTTGGCCCTGTATTTTGTTTTTTACGACCTTTCTTGTCATGCTCTTTGCCTTGAAAGGGTGCCCTCCTCCTTCCCTCTCACTTCCTGGGCCCTGGCCTCTGTCCCCACTTTCCTCCCCTCACACCGCTTTCCCCGAGGTTCCCAGCGATTTCCTTATCTGGTAAAGCTTTCAGCGTTACAGTCGAGATCTCACTGGATAGCTAGGAGCTTTCAGCTCCCCACGCAGACCACCGGGTTTCCTGCTGCTGTGTCATCGCCTGCCCTGCACCGTTCCCCCACAGGTCTTCCTGCCTCGCCCTCGACAGCCAAGGGCTTGCCTACTTCTTATACTTTCAGAATTAGCCAATAGCTGAGCCATCATTGGCCCCAGGAAGCCTTGCTCTTACCCCCTCCCCTAATTGCCCTTCTTTGCTTCCACAGAACCGCGCACACTTTGTGTAAACATCTGTGAGCTCTGTGGCCTTTTCTTCAATGAGACTGTACATTCCTTCAGAGGAGGGACTTTGTGTCACTCATCTTCGTAACTGCACGAGGCAGGGCGTCATTAAATGCTCAACCCTCCTCTGCTGTCCTTTTTCTCCCCTGGTGCTAACAGCATACTCACTTGGGCCACCTGGATTGCCCCTCCTCAGTCTCCCGATTTAGAAATCATTGATCTGCTCACGTCTGAAAGCTGCCCCCCGAGTTCTACTCTTGTCCATGTCTTCCAAACCTAACAGACAATTCTTTAAGATTCCAGATTCTGATAAAGAACGGACACCCCAAACTCTCTCCTGAGCCCCCACATTAGATTTTCCAACTGCCTGCTGAACATTTCCACTTGGAAGTTCCCCTGACTCCTTAAAAAGAGAATGCACAAATGTTCTTT